CCCCCTCCACACAGGAGGCAGCGCCGGGGCTTCCCTCTCCTCCAGCTCCTTCCCCTCCACCCCCCCTGCTCCTCCTCCTGCCCCTGCCGCCCCGCTCGCCCCTGGCCTGATTGCTCGCCCACGGTGCTTGCAGGCACCTGCCCGGCATCTGGTCTCTCACCGGGGCCTTCTCAGCCTCTCAGTCTGGGCACCAGGTTGGGCTTTGACCTGCCCAGGCTTGCAGACCTCTCAGGCGGTCGTGACCTTGGCGCTGGGCTGGATTAGGATCGGGGGAGCAGGAACGCGGCTGCACGCTCCAGCGCATCCCGAGGGTGCTCGGTGACGATGCCACCGTTGCAGGAGAGCAACACTTCCACCCGCTCCCAGGGTGGCACGGCGTTTGCATCGGGACGGTCTCTGCCCGAGGATGGAGCAGGGGCCGTTTCTGCAGCGGGACCTGGCGCGGCTGAGTGTGTGTGTGTAGGGCACGAATGTATGCGAGGGAATGGAGCCTGGCGTGCACGGCGGCATCGCCAAGCTTGAAGCCAAGAGTCGGGGCCTGACTGATGGGACGGAGCGAGCATCCGCCGAAGGCTGATTGAAACCTCCCACCTGGCCACCAGCGTGTCGGAGGATTGCAATCTGCCCTCGTCCTATGTGCTCAAGGGCCAGCGCGCTGAGCCTGGGAGAAACGGAGACCAGGCACCACTTTTCCAAGCTGTTCGGGGCTCTTTGCGGAGAGCTTGGGGGTGGGCAGCGTGCTTCTCCTTCGTGCTTCTCAGCAGAGCTGTCGAGCCTTCCCGGTGTAACCTGCGGCCGTAATGCAGGTACAAGGTGGACATCCTGGGCCCGTGGGGTTTGCACCAGCCAGCACGTTGCCTTTTTCTTTGGTGCTTTCCTGCTTTCTAAGCTCCTTGCTTCATTTCTGGCCCTGGGCAGGAAGGGGTGGGCCTCGCGGTTGCAAAGACAAGGGTGGGATGCTTCTGACTAGATCTGTGCAGAGCAGTAAACTTTCTTGGGAGCTCTCTAAGGACTTCCTGGTTTGGGCTAAGCCCCTCCTAGGATTTCAGCCCTTGCTGCCCAGCTGCCTGCGAGCAGGAAGCAGGAGGGAGCTAAAAAACAAAACAGCTCTTCACTTGTTTGCATGTCAAACGAGTTCGGGATTGTTTTTTTTATCCCCTGCCCCCCTCCAATCTGGCCCTTAACAGCAGAGATTCCTGCACTCATTAGTATCATGCGCGTTTATCTGGAAAGCCTCAGTCTTCCAAACTGCCCAAGCCCATCTGCATACCCTGTCCCTTGCTTTTCTGGGATGTGGAGAGGCCAGATATATGCAGAAGCACACGCTCTCATAATAGCTGGGCACCCCCAGCTTGTTGCGGCTTGTCTGAATTGGGTTGGAAGGGCAGGGACTGGCTTGGCGTATGTGCAGCTCCCAGCACAGAGGGCTCCTCATCTGTTCAGAGCCCCCCGGTGCTGTTGAGACATAAGTGCTACATGATTTTAATGCTGGTTTGCAGCCTTCTCTGCTTGACGTGTCAGGCCTGGGTTTGCTTTTTGCCCTTTGCAGCACTTAAAAAGGCTGGTGTGCATTGTGGCTGGAGTATGGGTCTCAGTGCTCAGAGTATTAGCCCTCATTCCCCTGCTTAATGGGGATAAAACCCCAGTTGGGAGCTTTGCCTGGTCTCCGACGGAGCTTCCCGAGTCAGGTGTCTTTGGGGATGCCAATTTTCTAGCGGCGAGTTGGCTCGAGGTAAGTTGGTGCGATTCCCACACCCAGGGGGTGGGCTGTGCAGGGTGACTCGCTGGAGGATGTGACGCAGTCTGTGGTGTCAGCCTGGAGCAGTTGAGGATTGTGAGTCAATCTGCAAGAGAGGGTGTGCAGAAGATGTTTGGAGCTGAGCTCGTCTCTGCCTGTTGAACCCGGAGCCCTTTGGGGTCGGGCTTTTGAGCTCTGCCTCCAGGAGGGCTAGGAAATCCTTTTCAAGTGAAGATGGAGAGTCCCCTGTGATAGCAAGATGAGTAGCCAGGGCTTTGGTGAAAATCCCCAGAATTGCCAGCTCGGGGTTTTTATCACGTGAGTTTGCCCACGCTCGGTTTGCATGCATTTGCCTGCTTGCTTGCTCTGCTCCATCCACGGCTATGCTGGGAAAGGGAAGCGGGCTTAGGTTGTGACCCAGGCTGCCGTTCACACCCCCGCATCTCCTCTGGTCTGCTGCAGATCTGCATTTGTACCGCAGCTCAGATTGAACCGGATCTCCTGCTGATGCCTCTCTCGGGAAGGCAGAGCCAGCTTGCGTGGTCTCTTGGAGGTCTCTCCTATATAAACCCTGCAGTCCCTAACTTGTTTTTGTTTTTGCCCCGTACTCTGAGGTTTATATTTTTCTCATCTGGCTTGTTACCCGCCGTTCTTCCCAGCACGGACAAATCCTCCTGCCAAACTCTGATCTCTCTTCTCGGCTCCTTCACCCCCTCCTCGTGTGCCGCTGCAGCTCTAGCTGCGGGGGGCAGGTGAGTCAGTCCTGCGGGCAGTCTTTCACCGCCTGGCAGACTCTGAAAGACCTTGTTGCAGCTGGCTGGCCCTGCCTCAGCCTTTCTGTTGTCTTTTGAAGCTCAAAGGGATTGAAAGCCACCAGCCGGCACGGCTCAGTTCTGCATTTTTTAGTTTTGCTCCCTGGAGGGGTGTGGCCGGTGGAGATGGGGCGACTCAGTGTCTCAGTCCTGTCCTAGGACAATATGCTGTAGCTGGAACACAAATTTGTTGTATCCAGGACCACAGGTTGGGCCTTGTGGGCTCCCTAGGTGGCCCTAATGTTGATTTTGGGGGAAGAAGCAATTTGGGCAGCTCTCTGTTGTTTCCTCCCCACCTCGGCCCAAACTTGCAAGCTGTCCCCGGCATGCCTGTGGAGAGCCAAGCCAGACACAAGCTCCCAAGGCTGTACCCAGCCCAGGGGGACCATCAGGACTTGAGCTACATGCAGGGTCTGCGAATATCTCTTGTATTTCCTTCCTCCTTGTGAACTTATTTTTGTGCTAAGGTATTAGGAGAGTTTACAGATGCTGTGCCCTTGAACGTGAGACCCCCTGGGCTTCCAACTGTATGCCTTAGCATCCAAGCCCCCCAATGTCCCCTATGGCAGTGAATGAACTTCAGAGTTTATATTCCGCTCATTGGTGTGATGGTAGCCCTTGCAGACGGGCTGGATTCGGGCCTTATGGAGCTGCATAACCTATAGACGATGCCAGTGCTTTCCCCAAAGAGCGCTCAAGCCAAAACGCCCCCCCAACCCAAACGGTGGTAAGCAAATGAGATCAATGAAGCTGCTTTTTGGCAGAGAGCAGGCTAGAACGAGAGCCTCAGAGTCTGTTGGTTCCCCGATCAGCCTTGTTGGCCATCTTCAGGCGCATAGATAAAGATGATGATCTTCCACTGCAGGGGACCCCCAAAGAAACACGGTGCTGGGGCAGGGGCTGGGGGAGTTTGCCCCACTGTTTCTTGCCTCTGAGAACTTGCTGTGCTCATAGGGCTGGTCCCCCACATTTGCGGCAGGGTGCAAACCCCATGCTGAAGGGGTGCTGGGAGCCTGGAAGTGCCTGGGGCTCCTGCTTGCCAGGGGATGCAAGAAATGGGGCGCAGGTTTGGCTACAGCAGATGCAGCTGGCGGGGTCCCTGCTTCACTCTGTGTTATGAATAGTTGGAGCCCAGGTGCTTTGTGGTTGCTTGACTTTGGGGGCATTCCCAGCCACACGTGGGATGGGAGTGATGGACCACAGACCTCTCGGGCCGTGGTGGGACGAGGCTAGAGGCAGCTTCTGCTCCGGGTATCGCTATCAGATGGTGCAGCAGAGAAATGAGCCCGTAAGCGAGCCAGACTGCAACCTGTGCATCCCGTCGTAGCAGTCGCTGTGCTGTCCCCGTTGTGCTGCTGCAGGAAGGGAACTGAGCCGCGGTCCTGCATGTTGTCACCTTAGCATTTCCTCCGCAGGCACACTGGGGACAAAGTGTAACGTCCTCCCAAACAGGGTTATCTGCAGACGGGCTGGGTGGCTCATAAGCAGGGTGAGGACAGGGACAGCCTGTGGTGCCCCGGCCCCTTGGGTCTGCTGTGAATCCTTGCCTGGTCCGGAGCAGGACAGATGCTAGCATTTATTTGCAACCTGTTTTCCCTCCTTTGTCTCAGCCAGTGATTCTCTACCAGGGAGAGGAATTGCTCTGCTCATTTTCTGCACTTAAAACACGAGTGAAAACTAAAGAGCTGGTGTTTTCCAAGCCGAGAAAAGTTGAGAGCTACTGATCTAGACCGTTCACAGCAGGTCCCCATCTTGCTTGGGGCCCCGTCTGTCCTTGCAATGCAGCACTAATATTCTCATGTTCCCTGGGTGGGGGGTTGAATTCTCTTTTTTGTGTTGTATGTTTTTCCAGCAGTGCCGGGGGGGGTGGCTTTTTTTTCCCCTGGGTGCTGTCCCCCCCCCCCCCCACAAAAAGAAGTGAAGACTTTCTTTGCTCGATGCAGGTCATCACAGCGACTGCCTCGTGCATCCAACTTTGGAGTTTAAAATGTCAAGTGCCCTCCGTCTCCCTGGCTCCGATTCACTGGCTAAAATAAAAGCCACCCCCCTTCTTCCAACTCGGTTGTCGCCCAGGCTAGCACGGAGATATTGTGAAATGTTTTAAGGGCAAGACAAAGCATCTGACTTGCTGTCAGTAGGCCGGAGGGGTGAAACACTGCTGTTTGGATCTGGCAGGGCATGGTAATCGAGACTTGGCCTGGAAGACTTTTGAAGCAAAGAAACAAAGGTAAGGGAGAGGAGACGAGGCGGGGGCTGGGAGAGGAAAGGGAAGCCAGCATGTGGGGGCTGGGCTGGAATTTGAGAGGGCATCTCGGCAGCTGGAAGGCTGCATTGACAGTGTTTAGAAAGGGGATAAATATCCAGGGGGCCCGATGGTTCGGCTGGATGTCGTTCCCATTGCGGTTCGGCATGGGAGCAGCTCCTCGTGCACTGAGAGGCTAGGGCAGGGTTGGCGCTGGCTTGCAAGAGAATTGCATATGGAGAAAGACGTGTTTGGGAGCACCAGGCTCTTAAAAAGCTGCTTTATGGGGGGGGCTGATGCAAGGTTGGCTTCAAAACTTGGGGCCATCCAGCACCGCTTGGTTGTAACCAGCTCTGCTGGTTTTCGCTGGATCTTTCCAAAAACAGCCCCGGCCCTGCTGACCTGACGGATCCGGGTCCCCTGTCCTGAAATTGCTTGTCTGCGATGGGGCCCACGGGCTTTCTCATGGGCTCTTTGCCATGGGAATAAGTTTTTGGAATCCATGCTGGACGCCTTGTCCTTCTCGTCTCCGAGCTGCTTCGAGTCCGATCTCCTGGGATAGCCGCTTCTCTGATTCTGCAAGTAGAAAGTGGTACCCGTCCCTCTGGAGGGTCTCCAGGAGGGCTGGTCCAGCAAATCGAGCTGTTGCTTGGTTTTAAATATCTTTTCTGAGCCAGGGAAATGGAGCAGAGTGAAACCCGGCTTGGTGAAACTGGGGTAGTTTTCTGCCCTCTTCTGCGCAGGCATTGCTTTCTTGGTATCAACCCGGTTCCTTGAGGGGCAGGGGAGCTCGCTCCCGATGCTTCTAGACAAGATCTGGTAAGGCTAAGAGAGCTCTTCAGGAGTAGAAATGCCATCGGGGCGCTGCAACTAGTCTAAAAACCTGGAATGAATTTTACACTGGAAAGAAATCGGAGCCTCTAAAGGAGTGGGACTGCGCGGATGGGGTTTCTAGATGAACTTTGCTCTACCCTTGTCAAATCATAGAAAATGAGGGTGGGAAGGGACCTCAGG